CCCTCCCTCTCTCTCTCTCTATCTATCTCTATCTCTATCTCTCAGTAGGTTTAGAGAAAAGAGAGGTAATTCAAGCAGCAAATGCATTCTCAAAGGTATAGTTCTGATATAAAAAACATATCTTCAAATCACCTCCCACTAAAGGGTGTGGGGTCTATTCATACAAAAAATAGAAAGCCGACTCTTGAAGTCTAAAATCACCACCCACGATGCCCCCCAGGTGGGTCCAGGCCCCTCCATCATTCTGTCCCGAAACTTCTTTAACATTTAATTTCTTTTTCTTGTCTTCAAAAAATTGTTTCTCTGAAAAGTCTAAAAAACAACAACTAGCAATTGGCACTGATTAATAGTTTAGTCCTGAAAATGATGAAAATTGATGCCAAAACTATACCATTATGATATCATTATAGGATGAAGCAAGCAAAAATTATATATATGTTTAGGACGTATTAGAGGCCCAACAATGTCTATAAGAATAGAAGTGTGTAGTAGACATCAGTGTGCGAGAGAGAGACCCTTAGATATAATTGATCATTACACACTTTTTCATGTAGTTCGAAGGAGCTGGACGATTTGCTCGAAGGCCTCAACTAAACTAAAAGAGGCAACTTTCAAGTAACCTGGAGGGTTCGAACAAAACTCATCTGGAAGCTCCGAATAGTATTGGTTCACCCGCACACGCTACTGGACATTGTTCGGAATATCCAACCGAGTTGGTTTGGAATATTTGAGCGGGGGTACATAGGCTTACATAAGTCCTCCGGTGGCACCGAATGGAGTTGTCATGATGGATTAGGGTTTGCAACGACTATCTTTGAAATGGATCAGATGATCCGAAATGGATGTTCCTCGGTGGCTTCGAACACTAAGATGAATTAGAGTGAGAGGGAAATGGTTGAGATGGTTTGGAGTTTGATCTCGATGCACATAGCAAGAAAAGCATCACCACTCATCTTTGAACCCTTGTGATAGTATTGGCATACCCATAGACTCATCGTGATACTGATCACTAAACGATAAATATATGTCTTAGCTTTGTCGCTCAAGAACTATGGTCAGCAACCATCTTCCTAGTTCCATTTCTTGGGATATAGTCTGGAAATACACTCGAATGATCATTGG